CCCAAAGCACTTCAGAGTGCCCCTCCCCTGACTCCTTATATCTGAACTGATTAAAAAACAAAGTAATTCAAAGGGCTCGGGCAGGGCACAAGTGTAAAATTAACCCAGCAGGACTGTAATATTTTTTTTATTTAAAGAAGGGAAAAGGTGTTTCTGTAATGTCACTGAGGAATCTTTTACAGGTAGATAAGCAGAAGGAATGAAACAGAAATATCTGATGTCAAGCCAATATTTTTGGCCAAAAATAAAAGCATGTTATCCAGATGGATTCCAGAGCATTAAGTATCATCTCTCCCTATTCACATATTTACTTTATTGTGGACTTCACTGCTTCTCCCCAACTGGCCAAAGAGAAAATATGTAACTATTCTGATCTTCATTTTAGAGAATTTTGCCACAGAGTTGTAAGGCAGTAAGATCCAATGCCTAGTGGTGGATAAGTAGGTTTTATGTGTTAACCCCTTTTGCAAGATGCAGTTATACATCTACATAAGCACTGATTGATTGCCTTTAGAATGTAAATGCTTTCAGAGCAGGGACCATAGGTAACTTTTTTTCCAAAGTGCCCCAAGCTGATGGGATGTGTAGGTGCGTTTGAAAAATGTTGGTGGGGTTTTGGTTGTAGCCGTGTTCGTCTAAGGACATAGGCAGGCAAGCTTCTTCTCAGTCTTGGAGTCTCAGAATAGCAGAGATTCCCTCTGCCTGAAGAAGGGTGGCTGCACCCGAAAGCTTGCCAAGAACTTTTTTCCAACTACTCAGTTGGTCTAATAAAAGATATCATATCTACTCAAAGAACCTTGCCTGCCTTTAAAAAATGTTGTCACGTGTCTGCCCAATGATCAGTGTGTTCTGTGTATTAAGCATAATAATTTGTCCAGCATTCTAAAGAATGTCAATATTAATCTCTTTGTTGATGGCAAGGTTTAGTCAGATAGGATAGGGATAGTCTTGGAGTTTTCAATATGTGGCTTCAGGTATATGGAATCCCACTGGGACTGTGATAGGAAACTTGGTCTCTGAATATGTCTTAGTACCTGGCTGTCACGTTCTGTTCATGTTCACAAGGATAAACCAGTCACAAGATTCAAGGCAGGATGGAATTCCCCAGGTCAGACTGGTGAGGACTGCTTCATTTTCCTCTGTGACAGGGGCTGTGACCCACTATCCTGGATCATCTGAGCACCTAATAACCCCACGCCCCAGCCTTTGTAGTGGCAGACACTGGTGATGCCCTTATTTTTCCTGGGTTCATTCCCTTGCTTGCTTGCTTTCTCTTCCTGTGACTTATTGTAAGTTCTTCTTCATCAGGAGTTTTGTCGCTCTGGTAGGCAAATAAGACTGCAATGTATAATTTTGTGGACCCATTTAGACATTTAGGTTGTATGTGAATGCAGGGGACTGGGCTTGGTGGCCTGAGATGTCCCTTCCAATCCTTTGTTCTTGTCACTATTTTTGCATCTAGGATTACAAGTGAACTTCAGGAAGCCTCAAGGCCTGATTCAGACAGATCCAAAAATGAGAGCACTTACTTGAAACGAACCTTGCATCTGCAGACTTGGTGACAAAATCCTCTTGAGAGCTCCTTTTCCCTCCTGTGATTTTCACAACTGCCTGCTTCTTTCCTAACCTCCAAAACCAGAGGTATGAAAGGACAGATTTAAAGATTTAAACCCTTTTCTTCTTAAGGAACCTCATAAACGTACACAGACGTTACATGATGAGTGGTCAATGTAATTGTCTGACCAGTCAGGCACCTCCTTCTGTGCTATATCATTGCTGGTGTTCAAAAGCTAGCAGGAGGTCAGGTGTACAATTGTCACTCTCTGATCCTGCTTAGGTACTGAAAGGAATTCCACTCAGCAACATTTCAAATTAATTAAATCATTCTCTCATTCAAATGGCCCTGTTCACTTTCAAACATGCATCATTATGATGTGTGGGATTGGTCAGAACCAGACTGGAAAGAAAATGGTATTTGTCATAGAGTCCAGCACATGAAATATTTTTTTATATCCAGGAAATGATTGAAACAGTGATTCAGCTGCTTGACAGTGCACATAGAAACATCATCAGAGCTTACTTTCCCTGGAACATTGGAGCTGAGTAATAATCAGGAAAAAGATTTGTTTTTTCAGGAGATGATAATGAATTTCTGCACAATCCCATATGGTATCTACAGGACAAAAAAGTATAATGAGGAAAGGAGAAAAGTTCTTAAGAATAGGCCTAGCTGAATGACAACATTTCCATACTTTTCCAGGGAGAAAAGATATGGGAATTCTCACGATTTGGAGTGATGATCCAAATCCCTCTTCCTCCTGAACTCCAGCGTACAAGCTGTTTAGAGAGCCATTCTCATCACAAAACTGTGCCAGTGATCAGTTATATTGTGGGGAAGCACATGTGCCGGGTATGATGATGTGCTGTTTTTCTTGCTTGAGGTGTGCCACAATCACATGCTCTGCTGGTGCCAGGTCTCAGAAAGAAGTGAAGCTTATCAGTTGCTTTGATGACAGGTATTTGATTCAGGCCTGGGGCTGGGACAGGCAGAGGTTCCATCTCCACCCTGCTTCTGGAGTGACTGCCCTGCTGATGTCAAAAGTTTTTTACTTCATCTCCTGGCACTAAGATTTTATTTTCATAACAGCACCAAGAGCAGTGGAACTGGAATAGGCGTGTCTGTTCCCCACCCTCTCCATCCCATTTGCTTTTAAAGCTGCCCTATAAGAGTGGGAGTGCAGAACTGCTGCTTCCCCAGGATTACAGGAACTGAGATTACTCTGTTACTGAATACGCTAGGAATTCTCCTCCAGCCACTACCACCGAAACCTCAGCTTCCATACAGGAGACAGAAAAGGTAACTCATAACTGTATAGTCCAGGCTACAGCTAAGGAGGTACAGTTCTAGCTGCAGTGAAGGGGGTACATGGAGACTGGACTCTCTCAGTGAGGGGAAATATGAGTAGCATAGCATAGTGGATAGAGCATTGGATGTGAAGTCAAGAGACCTGCTTTTGTTCCTGATCCTGCCACTGATCTTTGAATAAGCTCCTCAGCCTCTCTGTGGCTGAGCTTTCAAATCTGTAACATGGGATTATTGGCATTAACTTTCTTTGTGCAAATGTTTTGCAGTTTATGGATAACTCCCCCCCCAAAACAAAACAAAACAAAAATTCCTTACAACTACTGTACCCTTCAGTATTAAAATGAGCACAGTGTGATTTAGCTCCTAAAAGAAAAGACTGGGTCTAGGTCTCTGCTTCAGAGGTATGATTGCAACTCAGGTGGACAAATTGAGTTAGTTTTTAATCTGGCTATGGTATGGATAACAGTGGTGGTACTGATATGGATAACAGTGCAAAGACATACTGTCCAGAGCAGGGTGTATAAGCTTGCCAGAGACTTTGGGTACTTTCAAGTGTTCAGAGGTTTAGCCTCTGAAGAGCACTCCTTACTGCATCCATTCAGAAGTGCCCATGAATCTACAGGCTGAAATATGGTGGAGGGATTGCAGTGAGATTGGGGCAGACCCTGCAGACTTTGTTACACATATGCTCTGAGAAAAAGGAAACTCTGAGTTTTTAAAGGCATGTCAGGACTTGGGTAATTAAGCGTGTAGACTGCTGAACGTACCGTCGGTATGGCACAATTAATAATTAATAAATACAAAGTATGTCAGAAGAAACTTAACAGATGATTTCAGACCTGCATTTCTGAGACTTTCATGCTCTTTTCTATTTTGTCTGGCTGAAGTTTGGCTAATGCTGGTTGCTTGCTGGTAGATTTCTAATCTTTCTTTCACTACCAGCACATGCTGGACAAAATATCTCACTGTCTCTGAGTTCTGCAACTGTTTTTTTCCTGTCCTTGCTCCTGTTAGCTTATGCATTGTGCACCTGTCTGTGCATCTGCTAGAGCTGGTCAAAGAGTAAAGTAATCTGATTTGTGAATATTTTTAGGAATAAATGTGCTGAATTTGCTTCTCTAAAATTCATGAGGGTCACATTGTTCATTACTCATTGTATTTTAACAGCCGTCAGGTATTTGTGCAAATAACTGTAAATTTCCAAAGTTTCATGAATGATGATTAATCTAAAAAAAACAACAGGAGGCACATTATTCATTTATCCCTCCTTGGTAAGTGGTTGTTTTCCTGTTTTAAAATGTTTCAGCCGTTTAAGATGGAAACAGAAACAATGCATGTTGATTTACATTCCCAGAAACAACAACAGTAAATAGCCAAGAGGAACACCTTTTTTAAAAAAAACATTGTATGGAACAGAAGTTATTTATCCAAATTCATGAAAGACATTAGAAAGAAATCAGGGTTAGTTTGCGGGCAGTTTGCTACCAAAGGGGCTAAATCTGTAATCAATATAATTTATAATGCCCATGGTAATTCAGTTCTGCTTTATGGTTTTAGTGATGGGGGTTGAAGAGAAATCAATACAGCGCTATTCTTCCTGGTACCAATGGCTTCACTCTGTTCTCTCCACTAGCATCTGGTTGCCTTCCAGATTCTCTGTGTATTTACATTTACATTTTGTTGTATCTGTGGTCTTAGAGAACCTCCATGTACAGAGCTTGTCAAGATGAAATATGCACAAGGATGTGCTTAGTCTGAGATTCAGTGACCCCCACCTTTAGATTTTCTAAAAGAATTTGGTAAGAACTCAGTCCCATTCCATTGAATTCAATGGAGCTGGTCTCAGAACTGGTCCCAACAGGAGCTAGTGGTATTATTTTTTAGTATTATTGTTGCAGAACAAAGTCAGCTTACTCTGTATACACTTATTGTGTGTCTATACCTTCAGTAAATGTCAAAAAAGGATTAAGCACATCTGTAAATAACATCTGCAGATTTGGTGGGAGGTTGCAGCTGTGATCATAGGAAATGCATGAAAGGCATATTTCCCAATTATACAGTTGGTCCAAAAAGGATAGTGGAGTGGGACTGAGTTCTTACCAAATTGTTTTAGTAAATCTAAACATGGGGTCATTGAATCTTAGACTAAGCACATCCTTGTGTATAATACTTCTTGACACACTCATTGCTACTATGCAGTAACTTGTTGCTACAGCAGTGGCATCATGGTTAGTGCCCACTGATTCTACCTTGTTGTAGCGATCAGCTACATCACTGTAGCTTGTCACTTCGGTGACCCGTGCACATTCGGGACTCCATAATACCAGCTACACAGTGAGGCACACTTGTTGTCATGCCCAGTATTGCACAATTAGGGACAGTATGAAGGTAATTTACCTTCCTCTGTGGTATTTGGCATTTCTCACTGCCTGAGATGTAGAGCCATTCTAGATGGGCCATTGGTCTATTTTGCTGCATTAGATTTCATAGATTTCATAGACATTAGAGCTGGAAGGGACCTCGGAAGATCATCGAGTCCAGCCTCCTGCCCCAGGGGCAGGAAGTCAACTAGGGTCAAAGGATCCCAGCAAGATAAGCATCCAAACATTTTTTAAAAGAGTCCAGAATAGGTGCTTGCACCACTTCTGGAGGGAATCTATTCCAGGCCTTGGGGGCTTGGACAGTAAAGAAGTTGTTCCTTACGTCCAGCCTAAAATGGTCTTGGAGGACTTTGTAACCGTTAGACCTTGTCATCCCTTGGGGTGCTCTGGTGAACAGACATTCCCCCAGATCCGATGCACACCCCTTATGTACTTATAGGTAACCACCAGGTCACCCCTGGGCCTGCACTCTTCCAGGCTGAAGAGTCCCATGGCTCTCAGCCTGTCTTCATAAGGCCTGTTCTCTTGCCCTCTGATCATGCGTGTGGCTCTTCTCTGGACTCTCTCAAGCTTCTTCACATCCTTCTTGAATTGTGGAGCCCAGAATTGAATGCAGTACTCCAGCTGTGGCCTCACCAAGGCCTAGTACAGCGTGAGGATGACATCCTGAGATTTGCTTGAGAAGCATCTATGGATGCAAGCCAGAGTTTTGTTCACTTTACCAGCTGCAACATCGCATTGGTGGCTCATATTCATCTTGTGGTCAATCATGACCCCCAAGTCCCTTTCAGCTATGGTACTACCAAGTGTAGCATTGCCAAGCCTATAAGCATGATGTGGGGTTTTTTCCCCCAAGGTGGAGTACCTTGCATTTTTCCATATTGAATGTTATCGGGTTTTTATCCACCTACTTTCTAAGCCTATCAAGGTCAGCCTGGATCACCAGCGTAGGTGTTTGGTGTCATCAGCAAACTTGGCCAGTCTGCTTCTTACACCAATGTCCACATCATTAATGAAGATGTTAGAGAGTATAGGCCGAAAGACGGAGCCTTGGGGGACCCCACTGGTCATGGAGCACCATGATG